CTTTCCCTTGGAGCACCAGAGGGATCTTAGGGAGGAAAGACCCTCAGTTTCCCCCCCAAGTTGCTCCCCTCCACTGTTGACCCCTCTTACCTCTGGAGGGAGAGGATGCTGCCTATGTTGCGGTACAAGACAGTCCCCACCACGAAGACGGAGGAATCATCTGTCACTGCAGGGCACCAGAGGAAAGGGAAGAAGACAACAGTGCTAAGACAGGGAGGATGCTTGTCCCCAAATGACCCTCTCTCCCTCTAAAACACATACCAGGAGAGCTCATGGATCATGGCACAGAAAAGGCAAGTCTGGAGGGGGGCAATACAAGCCATAGTGAGCTTCAGATCTCTTTTTTTTTTCCCTCCTCCCCTTGCTCTTTACCAAGGAGAACCATTTCCTCTGTGGGACCAAATTGACACCCAGGTGCAGGAGGAGAAATAGCATAGAGGTCCATGCTGGGGGATGGCCAATACCGATGTCACCGCAACAGGGTGCACTGCTGGCTGTTACCCTGTTGGATCTCTATCGATCCCAGGCTGTGGTGACGATGTTTCCCAGGAAGCATCTCTTTGGCATGACCCGAAACCCATGGGTCTGCTCTTTTGCAAGACCCCAAACCCATGTGTCTGGCCTTGTGCAAGGCTTGAGCATTTCTATTGACCCTCCTGGTGGATCCTCTCCCCTTTGAAACTCCAGCTTATCCTCCAACAGAGCCACAGCAAGGATATCCAGAGGACCCGTCGGGACCCGTCAGCAGCTATCGAGCCATCAGAACAAAGAGCCGCGCTGGTGCTGACGAGGGCAGCTGCAAAGGGCAGGTTTCCTCTGGCTGAGACACCCCTGCAGACACTGCCCTGGCTGCGGTGGTGGCACCGTGGGGCTCTGCAGACCCTAACACCATGTGTTCGGTCCCAGAGGAGCATGTGAGCCATTTGCGCAACCGTTGGGCGAGTGACTTGACCTCCTTGTCTGCCTCGCACAAGCCAGCTACAGAAAGTAAAAGCTTCCCCGGGAAAAAATAAATTAAGAAGAAAAAATCAAAAAACGGAGGCGACAGAGGTAGCCCTTCAGCCAAGGGGAGTAGCCCTGCTTCAGGGGGGTAAAAAGTGACTCACATCGTGCAGCTGAGGAAGCCTGGGGAAGCATCTTACTCTGGGGCTCTCGAGTGTCTCATGCTGAGGTTGAGCTCGGAGCACGTCCCTGCCCTCTCAGTACAGGACAGGCACAGAGCAATGTGCCTCTCTCCCACTTTGCAGGCTCTCACCTCTCTGTCAGACTGGGCTAAAATGAGCTAGCTGGGCAAAACGTTCACTTGCAGGTGGGTAGGCTTGCAGAGCTATTGCAGCAGCCTTGCTTTCTCGGGAAACCCTGCACCGTCTTTTGCCTTTCCTGTGAATCCCTGTGCAAACAAGGATCCTGCTGCCTTCCAAGGCAGTTTTCCTCCTTTGCGCTGAAAAAAATACAGCCAAGTGTCGGGAAAAGCATCGTTTGCTCCTATGAGATTGTGAGCAAGCAAATCCTTAAGCTCTACAATCTTATCATAGCTCTTCCCAGAGAAGAATCCTGTCAGTATTAGAGCTGGTGGTTTGTTTCATTTGGTCTGGGGCCGATTTTTAATAATGTAGCTGCCCTTCAGTCCTGGTATATTATAGTCAACTCCTCTGATGTGCTACCCAGCTGGAACAGCAATGCATTTTGATCAAGTAGCATCTCCCCAGCGAGGATCACAGCCTGGAGCCCAAGGGGCATGCCAGTCAACTCAATAAATCACTGCTGGCCTGCTGAAATCCGCTGTGCAAAGCTAGTGAGGGGTCTGTCCTCACTGCCACCAAGCTGCCTTTCCCCATTGCTCTGCTCGGGTTAACTGACCCTTTTCCCTGCAGCCAAGGAAAAGGTGAGGATGAAAAAGAAAAAGAAACAATGGTGGTGCTATTATTCAAGAGAGCAATCCATCAAGAAAGACCACCTGCACAAGGTTCTGAACAAGGCTGAGGTGACACAGCTCTGGGTGAACAGGATGCCAAGGAGAGGTGAAGCCTGATGATAGGTTAGTTCTTCAGAGCAGATGTCACCTTTTTTTTTTTTTTTTTTTTTTGCACAGCGCCTGCCATTCTGGGGCCTTATGGCAGCTCTGTGTAATGATACTTGTAATGGAAATCTGGAAAACAACCCTGCGGGGAGGTAGATGAGTCCTCCTATGGCAGCACACAGCCCCAGAGCAGGACCCACTCTCCATGTGTGTGATGCTGTAAGTTTGTTCAACAGTTCATTAAAGTGTTTCAAAGGTGAATGCTCCACGACCTCCACAAATAACCTGCAATAACCCTCCCTCCATCCTGACTTCTTCCAAGAAGATAATGGTGTTCTCAAGGTGCAGCAAAACACAGTGCTGGACTCGTCCCTGCTCTGTTGGTGACTCACTCTTTGTCCTTGGGGGACTCACTGAACTGTGGTTGGCTGCAGAGTACCCAGGTAGAAATGATGGCTGTGTTGTTTCTTTCCCTGGCAGGGAAATGGGTAACAAGAGTTCCTGATATAACAAAAGGAGGCCAAAGAACTTCCAAAAGCAACAACTCATGGTCCTCTGCCTCAGTGCTAGCAAACCAACACAGTGATGCATCAAGAAGCAATATCCTGCACTTTCAAAGCCATTAGTGCCATAGCACCAGGACTTGTGCGAAACCAGCTTGCTGCTATTTCCTAATTGTAAGATCCATTAACATCACAATGTCCTGGCTGTGTTGGATGCCCCTTCCAGAAAGACCAGTGCACCAAGTGCCTGTAGCAGGGAGCATCCTTTCCTGGGCCTTCCAGGAGAGCAAATTTCCAAAAGAGTCCTGCAGGTTTCTTCTCAGAGCTGGCCCTCATGACGTCTTGGCTGAGGATCCCATTTCCACACCACTTCCACACCATACATATGGCTCATGCCCAGCTATGTCCTGCTGTGGAGCCAATGACCTGAATGATAAATGCCCTGCATGTGTGTTTTGTGCCTGAGAGCAGAAAATTGCACACAACAGGCATAAAAACACATTCTGGCAGAGTCTGTCCATCCAGGAGCTCCCCAGCTCATCAGCTGCTCAGCCTGACATGCTGACCCCCAGCTACACAGGCCTTAGATGGCTCTTCCAGAGCTGGATCCAGTCCTCAAGGAACTATACAACATTGTCCACGTGGGCATGACTACAGGAGGCCAAATCAGATACCCCAATTCCACTCCTGTGTGTTTGCCCCTGCTTTCCTTGCACTGGTAATCCAAGCCTATAAGGCCATCAGAAAAGACAACTGCCTTTCTCATACCCTAATGGAAATCCATCCTGCTCAGGAAGGAACAAGAGAGACACTTCAGCACTCAGTTTCCCCTAAGAAGATCTTAGATGCAGCCCAATACCCATATGCACCAAGAACAGAGCAACCAAGCATTCACTGGGGTGTTTTCACTTCATCCCAGGTTCAGAAACCTTGGAAGAAGTAGTCATCAATGTAGTCTTGCTCTGGGCTTCTATATTCACTCCTGCTCTCTTCTAAATATGCTGCTGTTTCAGAAGACCTACACCCAGATTCAAAAACAAAGCCTCCCCCTGAGTTTTTGCAGAGGCTTCTGATTTGACTCTTGGTCAAGCCATATCTAAAAGCTTTGTTTTCAGTCAATAGTGCTGTTGGGCAACAAAGCTTTTATGAGCAAATCCAGGTCAGCTGAAAGGACAAATTGTATGCCAGACAGACAGAAGGAAACTCCCTTAGAAAGTGAAGAAGAAATTTTCAGGAATGTTCTAGCTGTGCTGCCTACCTGCCAGCCCCGAAGAGAGGATGCTTTTGGATATGGTGACCTTGTCCTCGGAGTTCTTGGCCCAGTCCACCATGCCCCTCCAACCTTTCATGGGGAAGGTGATGTCAGTTGCTGCGTGTGCAGGCAGTTTGTGAATGCTGAGGACTAGAAGGAAGCAGAAAACAAAACAAATACATAAAACCAGTGTCAATACGTTTGCATCTGCTTAGAGGTAGAGTATAAGAGGACAGAGCAAGATTTCTCTTTATCTGTCCTCCCAGCTTCCAGCAATCAGTGGGACTTCTCCAGCCAGTGGTTCCAGACCATCAACTTTAATAGCCACCAGTGGACACCTCTTTTGTGCATTTTCCTAATCCCATCATGAACCCATCTGTACTTTCTGGCTTCTGAAATTTCCTCTGGCAACAAGTTCCATGCTGTGATTGTGCATACAGCATAAATCAAATACTGCCTGCTGCTTGCTTGCTGCCTGATCACTTCATTGGTTGCTGTGTAGCTCTTGTATATAACAAATATATAAAAGAAAGCAAGTAATTCTTCCCAGTTCATCATGTCTTCTCTGTTCATGTTTCTACAGATGCCTCTAATCTCTCCTTGGAAATTCTCCTCTAAGCTGAAGTCCTAGCTTTTTTGGAGGAAAGCCACCCCATATTTACGGTCATCTTCATTGTCCTTCCCCAGATCTTTTAATGTTCTACCACCTGCTGCCTCCCGTCTTTCCCTCTTCACAGCCCAGGTCATATGTATTACAGTAATTAGATTTCTGGAGTCTCTACCCAAATGGGGAGTGCAAATCAGCTCACCCAGATTGTCCGTCACTTGGTAGGAATCCCGGAAATCTTTCATGCGAAAGCCAATGACATCAATGAAATCCTCCACAAGCCTGAACAACTCCTTGGCATTTGGCCCTGTCTGCAGAGAGAAGGAGAATGCTTAGTAGCACAGATCCTAGAGCACAGAATGAGTTTCTCTGAGGGAAAAGATTTCCATCCTCACACATATATTGGAAGCATACGCTGGATATAACAGGATATTACAGAGCTGTGAAGAATAAGGATGAGAAATTCTAAAAGGAGGTCTAAAAAAATTAAAAGCAAAAAGTAGAAGATAATAATATGACATTCAGATTGAGGAGACTGAGAGCTGAGGGCAATAGTTCTCAAATCTCCAGAGGAACTCTTTGTAGTAGAAGATGACCTATCTATCTCTATGACCCACCACCCTATTCAGAGCAGACAAGATACTGCATTCCTACTATTAATGCAATAAGAGAAACATGGTAACACAGATCCTTAGCAGCCATGATTTGATATAGGACCAGTGACTGGAGTACCTGGTCCAGCATAGTTGCTAACAAATCAGTGGAGCTGCACCAAGCCAGGAACTTCAACCTACACTACTCATATACACAAAGAGCAAGTTTGACCCAGGCTTCTCGTATTTCAGGCTTACAGCTATTTGGGATGTTTGGAGGCTGTTTTCACACATAGACAACACAGAAGTGCAACAAGATGTCATGCAGGAAGCAGGGAAAGAAACATAGGTGAGGAATCACTGCTTTCCCTTCCACCTTTGAGTACCTCAGGGACTTTTGTGTTGTTTAGTTTGATGCCCACACTAGGAAAAAAGAGTGAGAAAGTCTTTGCTCTCTTCTCCTGCTCTCTGTTGACCTTCCAAGTATTGCTCTTTGCTCTGAGCCTCTTCTAGATCAAAAACTGCAGGAAGTCCGTAGTGCACTTCAAGGCAATTCTGAATTAAATCCTTATGGAGGGAGGGAAGAGCATTCTCAAAGTCAGAAATCCAGGTAATTCTGGCCTGTTTAGTGACACAGGGCACAACAAGCTTAAAAATAGTCTCTAAACTCCTCTGACTAAACTCAACTCCTAAAGCACCAGCAGGCTTAAACTCACACTTGCCTGTGAAGACAGAAAGAGGCAGTAATGTGGCCTGGGGTTTGTTCACTTGTATATTTATTTCATGATCCCATGGGGTACTTGGATAGCATTTCATTGAACCACATCTCTGGCCCAAGCACATCATCCAGTTGTTGACTTGAGTTAGGAACAGCCTGGGAAGGAAAGTATATCCCAGCAATGTAGAAGGTTGTCCTGGGAGCAAACACCAAGGACAACCGTGAGGACCTCCAGGCCCTACATCACATCATCCTATCCAGACAAGGTCTAATATTGAATCCCAGGCACTACATCACATCATCCTATCCAGACAAGTAGCATCATCTATCTTAAGGCTAAATGTGCTTTCTTGTTTCGTTATCAGGATCTTGCTCTCCAAATAACCCAGTTGGCTGCTTCTTATGCTGAGGTTGCCTGTCTCTGTCTTGTGTTTCTCTCATGATGTTTTCACCATGACAGAAATATTGGCAATAATCCTTTTGCACTTTCATTTTTTTTAGGCTAACACAAGGCAGTTGTTAAGCAATAGCAAGTTTTCCAGGTGTTGATTTCACAAAAAAATAATCCACCTGAATTGAGCTATGCTGACTACCTATCATCTGCTCAAGGCACATTCCCCTAAGGGAAATTAGCTAATACCACAAGAGAGCAAAGAAGACCAAACAACCCCTTTCATCTGTTCTTTTACTGCTTTCATGGCACTTTCAGATTCTCACCATAATTCAGACCTCCCGAGGGGGCTGAGCAGAGCTGAAGGGAAAGCTGGAGACTGGACAGGACACCAAAATGGGACGGAGGTAGAAGGCAAGTAAGCTGGTGAGTCTATAGGCAAAGAAGTGCAGGACTGGTCATGCATATTTGTATGTCTGTACAAAGCAGGTTTGGTGAGCTAAAATTCTATCATCAGGATTAAAGAAAAAGAATCATGCTAATACTGCAGGAGTAGAAAGGAGTAAGAGAAGTTGTTATTAAGAGAATATTTTTATATTCTACTATTGATTGAACCTACCAGCTAAAATTAAACCAAGACCATGATGGTCATTTTCTTTCAGGCTTCTATCTTAAATTGGCTAACACAATGTCCCCAGTGACCTTGTAGAGCTCTGACTGAATGCATTTCTGACTTTTTTTTAACATACCAACACCTTTATACAGTGTCCACAGGGCAACTGAGATGAGTGCAATTCAGATGAGTGTATTTTCAATGTGGAAATTAGGAGTTTATCTAGCCAAATGTGGGTCTTGAATTGTCTCCGGTAGCTTTGAGGGAGAGGGACAGAGACTGCACGAGCTCTGTTGTCATCCTGTGTCTGTAAGATCTCTGAGGGTAGTCTCTGTCCTAAAGCCATAAGGATGGACTGTGATCTCAGTTCCTACTAAAAGGAGCCTGACAAGAATTTTCCATAGAAGTTTAGACCATCTCAGTCCCATTTCTCACGCAGGATGCAGGCAGCAAGCTGGGCTGTGTCTAGCTATAGGCACATAGAGCAGATTGGAAAGCCAGTGGGAATGAATTGCCACAAAGCGTTAGCTGCAGCTGTCTTTATGGGGATCAACAGGGTTTCCTTGTTGTCATGACAACTCAACAGTCTCCTCTGTGCTTCTCTGAAATACACACACACACACACCTGAATGCTCAAGACAGAGCATTTGGTCCTTTATCTTTCCTGAAGCCAGACCATGCCACCCACCTCGTGATGCCAGATCATGCCATCCACCTAAATGCAACATGTCATTGTCCAGTCTCAGGGAAAAAGAGGAAGGGCACATTCATGAGGCTACTCAGCTGTCAGTGAAACTCCTGTCTCATGAAGGAACTGTAACATAATGGGTTATTCAGGCCTCTTTCTCAAGAAGTGGACTGCCGTGGAGTGTGCCAGCATCTGTTGTTAAGACTTCTTTCCAGAGGACTTTCATGGTTAACGCAACTATAACTAGCCTCTGGGACTACTGTTTTCACTGGGCAATTCTTTCTTGCCTATTTGGTATTTTCCAACCTTTTGGAGGAATTTTGGAACAGCAAAGGACAGCTAAAAAAGAGCTGCCATGCTGAGACCAACACCTTCCATGGGAGTGAAGTCTCTAAGACACTGTGCTATGTGCTTTGACCTGATTCTATTGTGCGCTAAGGCCAAAGCATGGTGGGGTTTATCTTCCAAGGTGCAAGGACAAGGAAGTAGTATATACATGGATCCATTGACCAGAGCTGCTGGTCTGAGATGATAAAACCCTTTCACTTTGATGGAACTCCGGAAGGCTGCCATAAGGCAGAATCTCTAAGCCCAGGACACCCAGCCTTGGTGAGGCCACATCTGGAGTATTGTGTCCAGTTCTGGGCCCCACAGTACAAGAGGGATGTGGAGCTGCTGGAGAGAGTCCAGCGCAGGGCCACAAGGATGATCAGGGGCCTGGAACATCTGCCCTATGAGAAGAGGCTGAGGGAGCTGGGCCTGTTCAGCCTGGAGAAGAGAAGGCTGAGAGGGGATCTAATCAGCGTCTATAAGTTCCTGAAGGGAGGCAGTGAGGAGGATGGGGCCGGTCTCTTTTCACTTGTGGTCACTGACAGAACTAGAGGAAACGGCTGGAAACTGAAGCATCAAAAGTTCCACAGGAACTTAAGGACAAATTTCTTAACAGTGAGGGTGACAGAGCACTGGAACATGCTTCCCAGAGAGGTTGTGGAGTCTCTGGAGATCTTCAAAACCCCCTTGGACGCAGTCCTGTGCCACGTGCTCTAGGTGACCCTGCGTGTGCAGGGGGGTTGGACTAGATGACCTCTAAAGGTCCCTTCCAACCTTAAGCATTCTATGATTCTAAGTGGCTGAGAGGTTTGCAGAAATTATTAGAAAAGGTCAAAAGAACAAGTAGTAAGTCTCATACAAGCTCAAGCAAAGACTATGACTGGGACATAGGCAAGGAAAATGTGGACAGAACAACACACAACACTTCTACCTGGTACACTAGGCCTTAGCTACTGAATTGCTTAGCAGAATCTCAAACCTTGGGAGGAGAGAAAGAAAGTAAAATGTAACTAAGCCCTAGCTCATCTTGCCCTGAGCTGAACTAGAAACTCAGGTGAGCAGAGCACAGGTCTGACCCCTGAAGGTACTGCCTGTCTTGCATCTTTTTTAGCCAGGAGCTCAAGCCCATGTAAACACCCTGCTTTATTTTAACAAAAGGAATAGAAGGGAATTATTCCAATTCAGGAGGGTCACCAAACTCAATTTGATCTCTGAGATTCTCTGTGAAGAATTTGGTATTCACAACCAATTTCCCCTGATGTATAGCTAAGATCCTGTAGCTCAGTGAGTTACTCCATAAATAGGACTCATGGTAGCTTGGCACTAGGCTTACATACACAACTCTTTGCATGGATGGTCTAATTGGCAGTAACCCCTTCAGAGGCAGTTGACTCTGAAACTGACCACAGTTGACCATGTCCAAGTCGTTTGTCCCTTTCATCACAAGGAGTAAGAGGAACAGCAATTGTGGACGGAAATGTTCTTCATGGATGGAGGTCTGTGGCTGTCATCAGTCTATGTTGCCTACAATACATTATGGACAAGAACTGGGAGATCTAGCTTAAGGCTTAAGCCTGCTCTGAAAACTTGTCCTGTTTCAGAGAACTGCCAAGTTTTCATACCAGCTGAGCTTCCTCCCATTTGTCCCGGTTTTCCTCCGATAACAGGTTGCTGATAATCTGGACAAAGTTCTGGAGAAGAGAGACAGAGAGAGAAAGAAAGAGAGAAAGAAAGGAGGTGGTGAGCAAAACAGGTTAAAATAAAGCTTATACCCAAGACTTTCACTGTGACTGCTATAGCTTCTAAGACACTGGACAGAGATGTGTTGTCTTCATTACTGAAGATTTTTAAGAGCAGCTGTCAAATACACAGCTACCAGAAATTGGCTAAGAATAGGTGATCTTGCCATGTATAAGTCCCTTCCTGTCCTGTTTTATAAATTTTTCATTATTTCCGGGGAAATCTCTTTATAGTCATCTTTCCTCTCTGACTGGGAACGAAGAGCAGTGAAGGAGCAAGGGAGGCTCTGCATGGTGGTCATTTTATGGGACTAAGGAGCACACAACAAGAAAGGAGATAAATGATTTCGAAACCATTGATTTTTTTCTCCAATTCTGTCACCCATTGCAGATTCTGCAGGATTAGTTTAATGTTTCAAGTTGTGTGGTGATGACCTATCCCAGGGGTATATCTTATAGCTGCTTGGCATGCAGCTGCTGAAAGTAAAATCCTAGAGTGACAAGCTATAGAGACATTTTCCTACATCAACATCCTGCTACTTAATACCACAGGATTGTCTTACCTATAGTCATTAGACTGCAATCCTTTCCAAACAACACTCTCATGTCAATTAGACTCCACAGTAAGTGCTATTAGTTTGAATAAGCGCTATCAGTCACTTTGGTTTTCAAGCTCTTATTTTATAAGCCAGGGAAAATGACCTCATATGGGAGGTTGTTAGCACAGAGAGTCACTTCACTTGGGCAGAAATTTTTCTCAGTTCTTGTCAGCTTTGATTTGACTCCAAAGGACAAAATCAAACTCTGAGCTCTGTGCATGCACCTATATCCTATATCCTGCCTACCAATGTGCAGCTCAGCTCACCTGCACATCCCCAGAAGTTGGGCTGTAATAAGCCCTACGGAAGATCTCTGTCATATTCCTGAGTACATCGATGGTGGACAGCAAGTCCCCGCTGTAGCTGGTCCCGTCCTGAGAGATTTCAACAAGGTTCTGGAGCACGTCTGACAGTCCATCTCCCATCAAGCCACGCTGAGCTTTGGAAAGATGTTCCCTGGTCTGAGAGACAGAAAGAAACATGACAAATGTTAGTGACAGTCAAAACTCAAGTTAATGAGCTCAGTGGAGGAATAGTTGGGGGAAAGTTTATGACCTTCCACATAATTCAGAGCACAGATTAGATGAATTTGACAATCTCAGCTGGACTGAAAGTCTGTGATATTTATAAAATCACAGTCAAATTTTTGGTATGCACCCAAAGGAAAGGTTGTTTGTAGACTCAGAAGAGGTTATTTACCACACAGGCTACTCTGCTGGTAACTTAGGACCAGAAAACAGATCCTTTTTTTTTTTTTTTTTTCCCTAGATTTGTCTTTTAACTGAATTGTACCTATCTTAGAAGGAACTGTAGCTAGGCCTGAACAGGAAAGGACAAGTCTAATAAAGGCAATAGCATTTTAAGACAAGGCTCAAGAGACTAGCAAAATGGGAGATTTGATCACAACATGAACATTCTGAGACTAATGAAAAATAAATGACCTATTTAATGTTGTTATTATTATCAGCAAAAGTGTTACAAACACATTATATCAGTGAGGGACCATCCCTTGTGCACTTGTGCATGGATTTTTTTTTCAACCGCAGCAACTAAAAAGGAATTTTGAAAGATCTTGTTTAGCTGAGAGGCTGGTCTTTCTTACCATCATCTGTATGTTTCTGTAATCAATAGAAACACACTTGATGTATGTTGGAGGGTCCCAGTAAGCTATCCCTTCTTCATCTAAAGTGCATCTTCGAAGGATCAACCCTAAAAGAGGATAGAAAAGAGCATGGAAACGGTAGAATGAAAAGACAAGCATCTTCACGGAGGTGACCCAGAACTGGCTAGTGCTGCTACACAAGCATACCTATCAGCACAAAGAGCAGCAGGGGCATCTGCTAATGCATGAACCATAGGCACTATCATGTAGGACAGGTTATTTATAGTTCCTTTTCTAGCATTTTCTCAGAGAGGGACAGGAGAATGAAAGAGAAAAAAAATGAGAATGGAAACAAAAGCTTGTGATTTGGACCTGGCTAATTAAAGCAAAAGAAGGCTTTTCCTGCCTTGGTATACAACAGGCTAAGGCCCACAGGCTTAATGAGCTGACATGGTCCAGGTCTTGCAGCTAAACCAGCCACAGTCTTTTATGCTACCTACACCATCCCAACAAGAATAAACATCCAACAGTACCATCTTTGTATCAGTTGAAAAGCTCTGGGAGCTGCCTGCAATTTTCCCCTTGTTCTTCCTGCGCTACACTGAGTTTTGCAGTGGTGATCATGCATTTCTGTGATGCAGAGGAAGAGAGGTATTAGCAAAGAAAAGGGTCTGAGCAATTACGCTGCCGTTTGAAGAGTCTCTGAGGAGCAGGCTTTGGCTGGGTCCACAGTTCATAGAATAATAGAGTGCTCAAGGTTGGAAGGGACCTCTAGAGGTCATCTAGTCCAACCCCCTGCACACGCAGGGTCACCTAGAGCACGTGGCACAGGACTGTGTCCAAGTGGGTTTTGAAGATCTCCAGAGAAGGAGACTCCACAACCTCTCTGGGCAGCCTGTTCCAGTGCTCTGTCACCCTCACTGTTAAGAAGTTTTTCCTTAAGTTCATGTGGAACTTTTGGTGCTTCAGTTTGTGGCCATTACCTCTAGTTCTGTCGGTGGCCACCAGTGAAGAGAGGCCAGCACCATCCTCCTCACTGCCTCCCTTGAGGTACTTATAGACACTGATCAGATCCCCTCTCAGCCTTCTCTTCTCCAGGCTGAACAGGCCCAGCTCCCTCAGTCTCTCCTCATAGGGCAGATGTTCCAGGGCCCTGATCATCCTTGTAGCCCTGCGCTGGACTCTCTCCAGCAGCTCCACATCCCTCTTGCACTGTGGAGCCCAGAATTGTCCATTGCTATTGCTGAAAGATTTGGTGACCTGGCTATGGATACAGCCCTTCCTCTAGGCTAGCACTTAGGATGACACTGGATAGCCTAGGCTGCGTGAGTCAGAAAGCATCATGGTTTGCCTGCATCCACAGCCTCACTCAAACACAATAAAAACCTTTATGTTCATTACAGGAACTGTTGTCCTCATTTCCTTTCCTGTGTGGGAGTGAAGAACATCCAGTTAAGGACAGGATTCACCACCAACACATCTCCTAGGTCTTTGTTCCCTTGCACTTTCAATTCCTTAGGAAGCACAACGCTGCACACAATGGATGACACCTAATTGTGCAGACACTATCACCTCAAACACCACGGTCAGATCATCTACCTGACTACCTAAAGATATGTTTAGGACACTAGTATGGTTTCTAAGAAGGAAAGAGAAACATCTATGTGTGATTGATTGGCTGCTGATTGCAGCTCAGATGTCCAGCTTTCAGATGTTGGCTTCTTTTCTGGAGAAAAACACAATACTTAAGTCCAGGGGATTCTAGCAGCCATGATATATCCCTACCTACTCCTGCAGAGCTATTTGTAGATAACAGGGTTGACAAAGCGAAGCTTTCCCAGTGCAACTATCCCAGGACTAGGCAGTAGCTGGATGCTAAAGCACCTCAGTTTCTCCAGAATGGAGCAAGAAGGTTACACAATGAGGGATGACAGAAAACCAGGGAGATTTTATTCAGCCCTGATCCCAGGGAGAAAAGTCCCATTGTTCATCCTTTTATCCCGTAACCAGGGTCCCCTCATGTGAGAGGTAATGGATGAAGGATGCTTGGAGGGACGGCCAGCTCCTGGGCTGGTACATATGACCGTCCTTACCTGTAGCATTGCGTGGACACCGGACAGCTGCAGCATCCCCGGCAGGCGTCTCTTTCCACACCACTGAGGCAAAATTTTCCTCATCACAGATTTCATGGGGCTCTGCAAGCAAGGAAAAATTCTATTGGGTAAAAGCTCCTTCCCCAGGTCACAAGTAAGGAAACAGAAAGATGAGAAAAGAGAAACCCATGGGGAAAACAGAAGATTGATCCAAAGGAAAGAGCACTGCAAAGCAAGCAAGGATGTCTGGAGGTGAATTCCCAGTTCCACAGCTGCCTTAGCACCCAGCCTCATACAAGCCCATCAACCTCTCTGGAGTTTGCTCTACCTGAAAACTGGACTGCAGGCCATGTCAAGGATTAGATAGCTAATGCATACCTAACAACCTGGGAAAGTGCTAACATGCCTGCCTTGCCTTGCGACAGATCTTTGGAATAAAAATGCTATTGCAGAGGAGTTTTCTTTTTTTATTTTTTTTTCTTTTTTTTTTTTCCTGATTAAGGGAAAGATGGACACCTTTTGGGTGTGAACATTATGGTTGCAGAACCCACTCCTGGTCTATCCTTTAGAGTCACCACACAGATCTGCAGCTGGATATTCCTAAAATGCAGCTCTGAATAAATAAATTGAAGTAAGAATAAAGGAAAGAGCAGCAAGTGGAGGAAAAGAAGGAAAAAAAAAAACAAGAAAGATGTATCTTTCAGGTGGAGTTCCTCCAGGTCCTCTGTTGCCATCTTATGTGAGAACTCAAGAAGATCAGAGTACTAGCAGGCTGGATTTGCATCTGCAGCTCATTTCTGAATGTTGCTATAGAGCCCAGCAGACTGTGGAAAGGTGCAAAAAGCATTCACAGAGGTTACAGAGAAATCTTTTTGGAAGGAGACATCTTTCAGCTGCTTCCACCTGTGGAAGGAGGGTATCCACCACAGAAGAAGAGATTTCTACTGAGATGTTCATTACTTGCATTCCATAAAATAGAGAGGACCATGAGCAGCGTATTAAAGGTATTCACCCCTCCTGAGGGTAGGAGGAAGAAAAATTGCAGGGAAAATGTACATGTTCTGCAAAGATGGGATGAGGACTTTGTTTTTTCATACTTTCCCCACCAGAGCTGCTGGGCAGCAGTGACCCTGAAGGTGTCCTGCCATATGGGACTGTGCAATGCATGTGTTGACAGACAGCAACCAGCTCATGATCTGCATCCCTGCCAAATCTTCAGGGAAGGAGGCTCCCCACTGCTGTTTTGGACCTGCCTGCAGCATCAACATGGCTCTGTGGAAGGCTCAAACCTGAGTTCTTGCGGATGGCAAGTTCTGCTGCTTTGAAGGACTTGTATGGGACTGAAAAAACTGCCTGCACCTCCCTGGCTCCAGCTGTCACCTCAGCTATCACAAAGACAGATTTCGCCCTGGTCCATTCAGTAGACACCAATGATGAACATATTCTGGTGTCTTCTTCGAAACAGATGCTCCCTCCCTGCTTTTAAAAATCCCTTTTAAGTAATCAGTATCATAACAAAATCCTCCAGGACAAGCAGGATTCCTCCTGTACATATGCAGAAGCAGCCCTGATGCAAACACTGTGAGTTCTGTAGATAAGGCAGAATACGTGGAGAAAAGTGACACTTTTATTTCCAAGCTTTTGACAAGGAGCTGCAGGACAGTGGTCAAGTTGCCCAGTTATCACTGGCCTGTGGCCACCTAGAAAGCCCGTGGCAGAGAGCTGAATGCAAAACTCCTGATCTCTGGCCCAGAGCTTAGGACATGGTCAGATGTTCTCGAGACCAAACTGTGGCTCACAGCAGGGTCTGGAGCATGGGATATGGAACTTCGAGCACCTTGAGTTGCAAAGTAGTGGAGCAGATGCTGTACATCAAAAGGCAGAGTTTGTTCCCATCAGACCCACTCATCTTCCTCCCTCTCTAAATCATCAAACATGCCCTATTTCCCTACCACTGCAGTCTCCCTGGGGACCACTGAGGGATGCTGTGGACTAAAGATGCTCTTTAGCAATACACGGGTTGTCTTGCCAATGAGAGCAGTAGGAAGTCCCAGGCCAGGAGAGTCATTTCACACACACCATTTTTTTTTCTTACTTTCCTTTTTTTAATATTGCTCTATAACAAAATCCTTTTTTTTTTCTTTTTTTTTCTTTTTTTTTGCCAGAGTGACCTATTTGCACTAGGAGATGTTAATAATTAACCCAGTTAAGCTCATTTTTTCTGCTCAAATCAAATCATGTTGGTGTTTGATACTTTCTCCAGAGCAAATTGAGCCCGTTTATTTTTAGCCTCTGATGACTCCCCCACCTTTTCCTTGCTCTGCAAATTAACAACTGCAGCAAGACCCCCCTGGTGTTGAACCCTAGCATGACTCAGTCCCTGGGACATGCCTTTCTTTTTCGAACACTGCACAGATATGAGATCCTACAGAAAAGAGGAGAAAAGATTGGCCTTGTTCTGCCAGGGCCCCAGCTGGCACAAACTGAAGCTGAAATAAATCTGCATCGCTCTGTAGACACCACCATATGACCTGGTGCTAAGATTTTCTATGACAAGGGAGAGCTTTGTGGCTGAGTTTGAAGACTCTCACACGCCACTGCTAATTGAGAGGCTCAGCTTGCAAGAAGAGGTGATGTCTTTCATGGGAACATAGCTGAGAAAAAAAGGGGAAAAAAAGAAGAAAAAGTGAATACGCTTTCTCATAGCCCCTTTATTGGGTTTCTCTTCTAGTTAAACTAGGTGAAACTCCTGCACTGAAGCATTTGCTCTTTTATCTTTGCAGTTTTTGAAGGAGTAGGGCAGGCAGCAAAACGCTGCAGAGCCTCCCCAAAAAACGGCTCTAAAGCACCGACTTTATGTCAAGCTACGACATGTCTTCCTGGGAGTCCAAACCGGTTGGGTGTCTTCACAGCAATCCCTCCCACTGCTCCCTGAGCTCTTCTGGCAATTAATTAACCTTACGGTCAAAAATCGGGCCCCATTACAATCGATGCGGTCTGACTTCTAGCATCACATAAGCCATCGATTTCCCACTAGCAAGTTCACCAGAAGGCCCTTTAAATGCGACTGCGAAAGAGGATAGAAATGGTGCACTGGCCTCTTTTTTTTTTTTTTTCCCTCCCATTGTCTTTATAACGAGTAAGAGACATCTGGAAGGGTTCTCACTTGTAAGTATTTCCTTCTGATTATTTTTTGCACTAAAACTCAAGATGTTTTTCACATTAAAACCCAAGATATCTTCTGTCCTGTCCCCCAGCCCTTTTTTTTGCACTCCTCTTTTTTTTTTTTTTTTTTCTGAGATGGATGCTGTCACTATTGCTGTGTCTGGAAAGGAAGGGTAAGGGGAGGCAAGAACCTGACAGATATAAATGTGTTTGTCCTGTTTAATCTGCTGTTGGCATGCAGGTTTTCCAGAGGCTACATAAAGTGTGGGAAACCACTATACTATCCTCAGCACTCAAATGCATGGATTGGGGACAGTGTTATTATTTGCCTCTATCAAATCATGTGTCTCTTTTCCTCTTACACCTCCACAGCAGTGAAAAGTGCCATATATACACCTATGGGATTTATTAAACACTCTGGAATATCAGCAGAATCCTTGCACTGTCTTTGGCAAGAATTAGATAAAAAGCTGTGATGTTTCTTGTGCCTGTGTTATGAGCATCATCAAACAAAACGGCAGTCACCATTGCATTCATGAAGTTCTCTGATGTGTGTGCTCAGTAATTCTTTCCAAAAAACCGTGTATTCCCAGTGCAGCATCACGGTGTCCATGGGGCACTTACCGGGACATTTCTTGTCATTGCACTGTTTATACTCTTCCTTGGGACCCTGGCAAGTCGCTCCACCAAAGAAAGGCCCATAGCACACGCGGTCACGTCTCTGAGTCCCACCTCCGCACGTGGTGGTGCAGCTTCCCCACACTCCCCACGCCTGCCATTTCCCATCCACTGGAAATGAAAAAGAGGAGAGAAACAGCCTGTCACATCCCATCACCACCCGCAGCAGAGGGAAGCAAGTATCCAAGGTAAACCTGGAACATGTGGTTAGTAGAGCATGACTCACTGTGAAGGGAGATTTTCTGCTTGGTTCCTTGCCTACTTCTCAATTGACACAAATCAGTGTGTCCTCCTCACACTGGTCTAAAGGGACCAGGAGGGCCTTCAGGGGAGAAACCATAAAGAAATTTCAAATAAAGGTCTTTCCATCTGTTTCCATTGCATCATTGCTTCATATTCCATTGGACGGAGATTTTGCACCTGAGCTGGGCTTAGAGGTTGTCTCATTTCATTGTATCTTCTCCAAGCATTTCTCAAGATTCAGCAGAAATACTTGTTTTATATTATTTTATCTTTTTATATTTTATATTATTTATCAAAATACTGTAAAAATGTTAATTAGTCCTCACAACAAGCCTGCAAGTAGGGAAGCATTCTCCTGCATCACAGATATAAAACAACAACTCAGTGACAGAACTAGAGCAAGGATTTTAGCCTCCTGATTCCTACTTGGGTTTTAATTAGGAGATAACAGGCCACACTGGGTATGATAACTCCTCTTGAGAGGGTGGAGGATCCCACTCTTTTTTCTCCAAACCATGAAAAAAAAAATATCATGAAAGAAAAGGTACAGGTCCAACCTCTGATGCTTTCTAAAGTGGTACCATATGGACTCCAATGTTCCTCCAGTCTCTAACTCTGAAATCAGTGGGAGTAGGATGCCTAAAAACAGTCAGGCACTTTGTGTCTCTGAAAATCTTCAGAAGTTGCAAAGACAGAGTAGGATGTAGGTAACAGAGTCCATGTAGGAAAGTACAATACCCATGTCAAATAATGTTTTATGTTACTCTGCTGCTATTAAGTAGATTTCCATGCAGATGATGGCCCTCTCCATCTCAGAGGCACACTGCTTCGCTAGCAGCCCATGAGAGAGCCACGGGCCAGGAGAACCGTGGCAAAAATTCGTCATTGATCAAGCTTGAAGGCTTCTGGAGGTTCAAGCCTTGTTTCCAGGTAGGAATATTTTCCACGCAAGCAGGTTCACTGAATCCCTTGGCAATGGCCCTCCCCAGGAAAGAGGAAAATTGCACCGATTCCGCAGTGCTGGCATCAGCCTGAGAAATGACAATTTCTGGTGTCAGGTGAACTGAGATATCTGCTCCTGTATTTGTCTGTTTGCCTGCCTGAAATGGTTCTCCTGGATCTTCCCTATGCTGGACCTCACCATGGACAAAGTTTAAAGACATGATAAAACAGTAGTGCTGCCCTGTTTGCCTTTTTTCTTTTTTTTTTAAAGAAAGAACATGCTTAAAATTGGTAATTAATGTTAGAAAAATATTTTCCCTGTAGGCAATTACTCATTTCTCCAGAGTCTCCTGAAACGTTTGACCACTATGGATTGTGTCTGACATGGTCCACTGGTACCACGACCTCCTTATTGCTGCATGAGTGCTGAAAACTGTCCCATCCATCCCCAGAGGAAACAGCCTACCTGGAACAACAGCAAAGGATGAAAAAAATGAAGGTCCACTGACCTGGACATTGCCGTAGGAAACAGTCCCTGGTCTCCACCCAGTGTCCCTGACACTCTGCTCCACCATAGGAAGGCCCGTTGCATTCCCTCGTCCGCTGCTGGGTGCCGTTGGAGCAGGAGGCAGAGCATGAGCTCCAGCTCGACCACTCATTCCAGTTGCCGTCCACTGAGTGGCCCAAAGAAAGAAAACAAAACTGAATGTGAAAATCACTCCCACTGGAAGGAGGCAATAGCAAGAGTCTACAGCCTCTGCAAACAGTGGTGGGGGCAAAAGGTGGGGACAAGCTGGGTGCACAGAGCAGGAGGGAGAAGAACATCAAGGAAATGTTCAGACAAATGTGGCAATGGCAACTTCTCAGGAGCCGCAGCAACCTCTGTCTCACATTTTATGGCCCAGGAAGTGCCATTTATGGACACAAGTGCCTAGACCTTTTTTGTTGTTGTTCATGCTTTACATAGTACCATAAAGTTGAAATTATTAATATTATGCATTCCAACATAAAAGTCAAAATTATTAATATTGCAGATATAACATAAAAATAGAGAGCATGAAACATGCTTTCATGAAAAATTTTAAGGAATCCATACATTCCCACAACATTTTCCTTTGGGTAATTGGCACTTTTTGAGGGAACATTTTTCATCATGACTCATCCGAAGTAATGGATGAACCTAGAAGGAAGGGAACTTCCTCTACCCCAAATTCTGTTTGTTTTGTTTTGCTTTGTTTTTTTTCAGAGCTATCATTAAAGCACACATACAAACTGGAATCATAAAGTTTTTCAACAGAATTCAAGCTGTCAGACAGAAAATACTTGGAGTGTAGGTGTGATCTAACGCGACATCATGAGTAGAGAGAATGTGTGTGGTCAATGTCCTCCTCTCATGGCTGAATTAACACTGACAGCCTTGATATGTCTCGACACAGAAGCAGCTCAGATAATTAAAGAGGAGAGGAAGCGAAAAGAGAAGTTATGATAAGGACAGGAAGAAGCATGACTACATCTTATTAGCATGACATAAGGTAAAGCATTCCCAAGGGTGGCACTTACTTACACCCTAATTGGACCCTGATCAACAGACAGCTCACCCAGTCCACTATTCCTGGAAAACTTTTTCTCATTAGCAGTTGTCATCATGCTTTGTCTAGCTTTCACTAACTATTAGTTCTTACTCAAAAAAAAAAAAAATCCCTAAAATGTCTTAATCTTAAATTATATTTTTTGTAGATTCCAAACCTTTTTTTTTTTTTTTGACTTTGTTTACCAGTCCAGGAGAAAACATATACAGACTGATCCGTTGTGTAATTGTTAGTCTTCGAACAACTCCCAGTAACTACCAGTGCAGCTGAATGGTAATTTTTTAATTTGTTTTTAAGCATGTAGGAAAATGCTAAAATACCCTACTGTTAACTCAGAGGGTGCACACGAGTTCTGTAGGTCTGAAAAATAAGACACTTTCAGAAAAAATTGTCTAACAATCCAAGCTTGATGCTTTCATCAAGTGTAAATTCAACATGTTACATAAATGTGTATCATTCCCAAGGAGGCAAATTGCAAGAGGTGGTGACTGGGCAGAGGTAATTCTTCTCTGGAACTGATCCAAAAGCCCACAGGGTAGATCCTACCATAGCTCTATTGTTCCTTCAGCAGAGCATTTTTTATCAGCTGTGTGAATAAATCCTTGGAGCAGGGCAGGGATAGGCGATAGGACCGTCTAGTGCATCAAACGTTGTGCTTCAATGAGTCCCCCAGTGCTGCACTCATTTGGCACCGCAAAGCCCCTGATTGCTTTTGTGGCATTAATTAGAGCTGAAGTCTTTCTGTTGAGCTGCCTGTCTCTTGCACCACTGTTTCATTTCCCATAGTGTAGCAACATATTTATTTGTATTTAAATTAATTATGGATCAATGTTAACTCAGGATATGCTTTATTGCCCAAGCAATGCTAGCCCTGACTTTTTCAATTTGTCTTTTTATGACAGAGCCAATTTTGTAGCTGGGTTGTTCTTTATTCTGAGTACAGTCTTTTGGACTGTGGCCAGAATTCCAAGGATAGTTATTTAGGGCGAAAACTAGGCAGAAAATGCCAGGAATCTTTTTGTTAATATTTTCACAAAGTTCTTCATCACTCCCACAGTCCCTCTTCTCCTCTGGGGACATAATAAATTTTCATAATGGTTCTCATGAAACTTAAAAAATTTCAGTTGACATTATCCTCGGAGAGGGAGGAGTATTGGGGTTAACCCTCACGTTTAGATCACGGTTCACCAGGACACTCTGATCTCCAAATGAAGATAATGGGGGGTTAGTGATAAACTCAATACCCACCTGCTTTGTAGGAGGGATCTAGAGGAGTGAAATTGGATTTCCAATGAATAAAGGCTGTTTCCTCTGAGGCTGATTTCCAGGGTTTCAAAACAAAACTTGGGGAGAGGTGTTTAAAAGTCGGAAAAAAAGTTCTTCTACATATTAAAAATATGGTGGGGAAGACTCTTAGAAATGCCTCTGCTTATGTCACTGCCCAAGGCAGGATCAAGTACACAGAGAGCTTGCAAAATCCAGGCACAAATAATACAAGCAAGGAAAATTATTAATTCAGAAAAACAAGCCCAACTGAGCAGAGCAACTTCAAAACATTTGCTAGGCATCATAAATAAGAAGCATAAGATGGTCTTGTAAATAGCAGTGGCAGCCGAGCCAGCCCAGGTCTATCCCATGTAGCAGGTGCCATGGAGGGGAAATCTGAACCTGACACAATGTTGAAATGAATATACCCAGAAGGTTCCTCTAGTTTGTTCCTCCAATGTGCTCCTTCCTTATCCCAGAGAATCCTCTTTGGGAAGTGTAATCCATCTGCTCATCCAGCACAGATGGGCAGCTGGACATGTGCTCAATGACAAACTCAGTGTCCTTCTGGACTGGGGAGACCTGCTGAAGGGAAGTCTCCGCATCTCTAACTGCCTTACCTGGGCAAAGTGCAATATTGCAGAATTTTGTTTGCTTTTCTGGGCCCTCGCATGGGTTCCCACCAAACTGAGGAGGCTTGCACGTGCGGGTCCGATCCCTGTATCCTCTCCCGCACGTGGAAGAGCACAGGCTCCACGGAGACCACTCATCCCAGGTGCCGTGCACTGAAAACAAAGCAGAAGAAGTCTCCTTACGAAAGGAGGTCTGGAGACCCAGTAAGTGAGCCCACGGAGCACAGCATCTTCCCACTCAAATAAGCAGTACGTGAGAAAGTAGTGTAGGAAGACCAAGAACAAACCAGCCTGAAATGTGCAACAGGAACATCATGTAATGTTTTATAATTTGGTATTGGCACCAAGTGTCTCTCACTTTCCAGCCTACATGAAATAAATCTTAATGCACTTTTCACTGACCTTATTTTGTCTGATTGTTGAGTCCAAGGAGAGGACTTTTTTTGAACAAAAGGTGCAATTAGCTAGAGAGGAGCAAAAAGGTCCTTTGAAGAGTAGCATCACTATCATTTTGTAACTTTTTACCGTTATTTCCCTCTCTCATCCTTTTCTTGTATCATTGAATATTCAAAGACTGCAGCTTTTCAAGCTCTCAGAAAGGGTGTAATGTGTCTACTAATTAGTGTCATGCAGCAGTGACATCATTGGAGCAAACTTGGGGAAACTCAAAAGAATAAAGTGCAATATGCACCACACTTCTGGTCATCACTGGTAATTCCAAGAATTAGATATCCAGAGACTTCTGATCCATATGAATCTAATTTTATCCAATCTAATCTAATCTAATCTGACTGGGTTATTTTTGGAAGGTTAGTGACCATAACAGCTAGAGCACAAATGTTGCCAGAATGTACTGATGTCTCTTAAGGGACCTAGTTTAATATCAGAACTCTTCAGAATAATACTCAGGTCTCCCAGACCATATTTGTTCACCAGAACTGTAGAAGAAGGAATATGAAAGCAATGAGAAGTGTTGGCTTACTTCTCAAGCAAACTATCAGTATAAGCTTTTTATGTGGACTTTGCAATAGTATGCACAGGGTTGAGCTTTGAGTGACTGATGGTCAAAGGTGTCACCTGCTGCTTCACTTTTGCAATCTGCCACAAGCTTGGAAACTCCCCACAAGGACACGATCCTGCCAGATTCACATGTGTTCGTTTCATTTAAAAAATCATGGAATTGTCAAAGCACACAGAACCACAGTCCACCTACTGGGACTTGTTCTGTTGAGGGTTTATGAGACTTCACGGTAAAAAAAGAAGAGAAGGGGAGTCTGCCTCCAACCACCTATTGTGCACTTCCCAGGCCTTTAGAGCACCAAGAGAACAAGTTACCTGGAAAGGGTGAAAGAACAGCAAACACTAATCTCATCTTCTCCCTTTCCACTCATGGGTGCTGTGATTTAGGTCCAGGAATTAGGGAACCCTTAGGCTATAGAGGGCACTAAACTCATTATCAGAGCTGAAAACCTGATCCGTGGCATTCCAGCCTTTACCATAGGTGTGAGAAGATACCATAGGCAGTCAATACTCCATACATTCTGACTCCCTTCCCCTTCTGCCCATTGATGGATGAAACACTCAGCCCACCTGGGCACACAGCAGAGTTGTTGCACTGTCTCTGCTCCCGGAGAGGGCCGCTGCACTGAGTGCTGTAGGAAGACGACACACAGAACCTTGTCCTGGTCTGCCAGCCCTCCCCGCAGGTGGTTGAACAGACACTCCATGGGGACCACTCCTCTGCTGCAGGATCACCTGTTGGGGTTGGAACAGAAGGTGAGGCCATGGCATCATTGGTCCTGGACTCTGGCACAGTGATTTTCAAACTGTATTTCATCAACCACCGGCAATCCGTGAAGCTATGCAATGTGTCCTACATCTGGTGTGACAGCAAGGGTGCAAAGGGGTTTGTGAAAAAAAAAATGTAAAGGTTGACAATGGTTCAAAATGTTTTTGGAAAATGTTTCTTAGAGTTGTAACACACACAAAAAGGAGAAAGATAGTGTAGAAGTATCGGGACATTGGGCAGTGCAGGTCACACTACTGGAGATGGTTTAGCCACTACAATACCAAATAAGTTTGGATATATATACCCCATTTTGGGGATGGTAGCAGTGATTAGATAAGGATGGTAAACATGTCCATAATTGGAGAATTCACAAAGATTCAACTTCTGCCTCCTCAGTTCAGACTGACAGCAGAAGAGGAGACAAAATACAAGGTGATAGTGCCTGAGAATGACATTGGCTTGAGTAATCCCACCAAGGCTTCTCCTCTTATTTTGTTCTTGTGGAGAACAACTGCTTTATAGCCCATGATACGGAACAAGGTTGACTGTTCCCAGACATGGTACGTTGCTTCTCAACTACTTACCTGATGGGGCAGCATTGGAAAGGACAATAAAAGCCTCCCATCAACCGCGAGGTGGAGAATGGAAAGAAGAGAAAGAGATATATTCCCTCTATCATTAATATCCTTAAAAGCATGTAATGTTAACAGCGGTTCTTCACCCAGGCCATAGCCTCAAAAAAGTGACCAAGAGTGTGGTATCAGCAGGGTAAGGGCAGAGTTTTCCATGAGTTTTCATAGTCAATAAATACCCCCGAGAAAATGTATTTTTCTCTCTGCATGAACACAAAAGCCCGCTCTGTTTCATTTAATTAAATTCTGCATTGTTTGCGTTTTTTTTTCTATGTATTACTAATAATTAAACATGATAAACCTAGAACATAACATTTGGCATGTATAGTAGACAGACATATGGCAACAACAAACACCAACAACACATCTTTGAGGTTGCACAATATAGGGGCCCTCTAGTAGCAAGTTCCTCAAAGCATCTGACAGCACCATGTTGCATCCTAACAAGATGCATCTGGCAGACTATAGTGGAAGGCATAAGGACCACAACACTGGGTGGAGTATAACTTAAGAGGGACCTACAATGTGGCACAGTCTGAGGTGCACCCAACATGTGGACGCATGTCCGGCACCATGATCAATTCCCCATACAAAGCTGCATGGTGGATTCCACATTGGACTGACCAGCTGCAGCATGGAGAGTGAGAGATACATGACTTCTGGTCTGCTGTTGCTTGAGATCTCAGCCTGCTTTAGGGCAGCAAGCGCTTGAGACCAACTGCATGAAAATCAGTGTAAATAGAGTAGTCACAATGGGGATTGTGAGAACCAGGGATCACCAAACTGCCCTAGATTACTGAAGATATCAGCTGTGATACCAACTAAGGTCACCTAAAGCTGTGCATGTCTGACATCCTTCTCAGGACAGTTTATTCATTTACTGGTGTTGCAGTGAGATTTGTCAGTATGCAATGAAACTTTACACTGGATTTCAAGCATTCATGGAAAACTGACCAAGTAGAGTGTGAATTCATTTATCTACCCATTGGGATTTTGGGTACTGGTCTCTACATTATCTTGTATGCATTGTGATTTTCAGCAAATCTGCTTTGT